CTCGCTCCGTTCCCTCTCAGCTCTTTTAAAAGGCGCTCCTGAGCCGAGAGGGAACGAGAGCTCGCTGCTCCGCCTCCTTGTCACCGCCCCCAGCTTGCAGCTCAGCCGCCCGGGTCGAAAGTGAGGTGTAATGGAGCGGCCTCGCTGCGTAACAGGGGGCGGGGCCCAGGCGGCGGAGCTCGGGACTCGCTCCTTGCCCTGGTGCCTCTCGTTGCCGGCACCGTCATTCCTCCTCCTCCCGCCGTCACTCGCGTCACTCGGGTTATTCGGAGGAGCTCGGGCTTTGCGCTCTGCCCCCTCCCCATTCGCGGCTCTCTCCCTGCCGTCGCGGCCGAGGTTCGTCGCCGCTGGGTGTTCGGGCCCCGCCTTCCTGCCGGCTCTCGCGGCCGTCATCGTTGGGGCCCAGGGGGCGGGTGCATGCCACAGCGTGCTACAACCACCTTCTTCAAATCCCACCAAAAATGTTCAATGTTTCAAAGTCAGGCGACTGTGATGGCCTCTCCAGAATCTTCCAGGACTTCTGAAACCAAGCCTTGGTGGACTGGAGGTATGCATGGAATCACTGTCCTGTCTGAAGATCCAATGACGCCCAAGCTTCAGCGTCCTCACAGAAGGCATGACGTTTTCTCCTAGGATTTTCTGATACTTTATTGAATCCATCTTGCCCTCCACTCTGCAGGTATCCAGTGCCAGAGGAAGCAAAGCAGCCCAGAGCATCATGAGCCACCGCTATGCTTCATTGTAGGCAGGGTGTTATTTTCAGTGTATGCTTTATTCTTCCTCCTCCAGATATACCGTTGATCCATAAGCTTGAAAACGTCCAGTTTTGTTTCATCGCTCCACAGAAAAGAATCCCAAAACCTCTGTGGCTTATTTATTTGGTTTCCAGCATATTAGAGCCAACTGCTCTTGCGCATTTGGATCAGTAAAGGTGTACGTCTAGGAGTTCGGGCACGGAGACCTTCAGCGTGTAGTATGGGCCTTACTGTACAAACCGAAACTTCAGTGCCTGATGCCACCAAATCTTGCTGCAGGTCTTTTACGGTCACTCAAAGGGTTTCTGACCACCTGCCTCCTCAGGAATCTGATGGCAGCCAGTGATAGCTTCCTCTTTCTGCAACGTCCAGGTAGTGTAGCCAGTGTTCCTTCAACTTTGAACTTGCAAACTATGCTTCCAGTTGTATCTGTAGGAACATTCAGTGCCTTTGCTATCTTTTTGTATCCTTTTCCTTGTTTGTGCAAGGCAGTGATCTCTTCTCTTAACTTACTGGACAACTCTCTTGACTTAGCCAAATTTCCACACATGCACTCAAACTTCACAGTCAACAAACCCCTAGCTAGTTATTTGATGTGTTTTATCTCAAGCACACCTGATGCAACTAATGAAGCCCTTGATTAGTTGCATCAGGTATGCTTGAGATAACGCCTGATATGCAAACGTGTTCTCTTATGATGTATTCCATTCACAGTGTTTAATAAATCTGAGACCACAGTAGTCATTAAAAGTGGCATTTTGTGTTGAATTTGAAACCACTTGTTATGTTAGTTGTGTTGAGCTATTTAATTTGTGCTTGTCAAGTTCTATCATCAACAGTTGAAACTAGGCAGGAACAGTTTAGTCTTGCAATATGAATCAGAATGAAATTAGAACAGTTTGACAATAAAGAAACAACCTCTTACAAAAGCTACACAAATGTTTGACTCTGCTAGTTAAACACTTCATGAAAACATTTGAGCCAAATGGCAGACTACCTTTGCTTAATTTTGATTAATGGATAAAACAAAATAATAACAGATTTGTCTGGCAATACGAATCAAAATAAAGCTAGATTAATTTACATACTTGTCAAATAATAAACAATGCGGAACTTTAAACATTCTTTTATTTCATGTAAACATGCAGTGACATACAAAAGAAAGATGAATTTAGATTTAGGCAATAGGTTTTCAGCTATAAGTAATTACCAAAGCTACTGTGCTTTTATACACATTGCATGGAACAGGATGATAGTGAGTGCTAAAAACTAACAAATGCTTACAATTTTAAAACTATGTGTTTATAAAATTCACATACGCAAGATCCACATACACAATAAAGTGAACAAGGATTTAAGAAGATCATTCACACTGTTGGAATAATTATCATAAGAGCTATGCCAGATGGCCAACAGTACGCAGACAGCCTTTCTGATCAAGGGGTTTGTATATTTCAGCTACAAACACTGCCAACTTCATAAAATCAAGCATAAAGCCATGCAGTCTTCACAGACCAACACTGACAGTAGAATGGGTCATGACTTCAGGCTCCGAGGTTTTAAATGTGCCACTGTCATAGGATCACACTTTTCCAACAAGACACAAAGTCTTGGAATAACAACGGCTTAGCCGTGTGGCAGCAGGACATGTAAGCTCTAAGAATAAGATAACTGAGTGCTCAAGTGCATAAATATCATCTGTCCTTGGATCGTCACAGACTCTGGAGCAGTGGAAATGCATTCCCCAGAGAGATGATTCATGGTTCACCATCTTGCAGTCTGATAAACGAATCTGGGTTTGGCGGATAGCAAGACAATGCTACCAGCTTGAAAACCATGTGACATATTCCTGTAATTATTTTTAAATGGCAGCTGCTTCATTAATCCTCCCTGGACTAACTTACTCATGTGTCTTTTTTGCCAGCTGTTAGGTCTTAAAACAGCTCAAAGTGTGGGTTCTGTTGTTTAATATTTTGTTTACACTGAGGAAATCATAAAATCATGAACATGGAAACATGACATTTTGTGTTATTTAAGAAAAACACGCAATTCACTTCCAAAGTAGCTGTAGTTTATCAGATAACCACTAATGCTAATTTCAGCTATGGCATTTTCCTGCTGTGGGATTTTTAACATTATATTAGCGCCAAGCTAGTGGTGGTGCATATTCATATTTTACGGCAGATCTAGCTTAAACATGGACATCTGAAGCTTGCAGCAGGCCTTAAGGTAATATATTCATGAAGTTAATTTAAATGTTCATGAAGTCTTTAAATGTAAAGCCTCCGATTTTATTGGAGGATCCTGTTGGCCTGTGAGCTGTCTGCTGAGCTGCTCAGCTAATAATAGGGAATGACAAAAAATAACTTTCGACAATACTAAATAGATTTACACAGAAATTGCTTATCATTATTATTATTATTGTAGTATTTTATTATTTATCACTCATCATGTGATGAATAACATATAATGTATTTGTTTTGTTAGAAGCACAATACATCACGGACGTGGCATGTCTGTCTGTCTGTTTGTCTGTCAGTCAATTATTCATTCACTCATGTCTAGCAGGTTACTCCAGGACCAAAGTTGGGAACCACTGCTCTACAGGGAACACACTTAAATATGGTATTTTCTGCACATTTTATTTTAATAAATTTCTATTTATTTGATTAGTTTAAGATTTTGGAAAAAATAAAACAAAAAATACAAAATGCAATTTGACTAGGAGCGCTCAAACTTTTGCATATTTTTGCAGAGAAACGGATGGACAACATTCCGTAACTGTAGAACTACTAAGAGCACATGGTAAGTGGATCTGATAAAATGGACAAAGAATGGAGATACAAAGAGGTGTACTTAATAAAGTGGTCCGTCAGTGTATTATACCTTCCCACTCAGAAAGACAACTACTTTAGTGTGACTTCTTTAACACTATCTAAAATAATAAGCATACAGCCCCATGTTAATAGCCAAAGTAGTTTTTATTTTATTTTTGTTTTCCTTCCCCAAATATCAGATTTTTCTTACAGATGTTCAAATATCAAAATGAGTCAGAATGCAAACCCTTAGTTGATGATAGAAAAGTGTTCAATGCTTTACCGTACTACACAAATTCTCTTCATTGGGCCTTGAGAAAACTTGCTCACTGGTCAGATTTGGCTTGTGGACTGCTTTTCGATGATCCCAGCCATGGAACATTTTCACTCCCTATGGTTAGAAATCACCCTTTAAAATGAATGAATACCCTGTTAGGGATGCATCAATACCATTTTTTACAAACAAAGTATTAGTTCATTAGTTCATTTGTTTCTTGAATCGTTTGTTCATTAGCGTGGCACTTGCGTCACATATCATGTATCAGGTGGTATCATATTGTAGCTTTCACCACTATGAAAATAGACTTAATAGCAGTGGAAGCTACAATAAGATACCACCTGATACCTGATATGCATCAGTGCATTTTTATGGGCACGAGTATGAGTAAATGAGCATGGTATCAATACCCCGATACCAGCATCAGTATTGATGCAACCCTACCCCGTCTAGGCCACTTTGCAGTGAACTACTTGGATGGTTGAACTGAATGAACTTAAAATGCCAGGCGTAAACGACATCTTACTGTGGTCAGATAACTCGAAACGGATGTTAATACCATTTATGAACAAAGCCTTAGACATTAATCTGATACAAATCACTGCATGTGTAATTGAAACTGAGCTAGCTGGGTTAAGGACAGTCATGAAAAATACTTCAGCAGCATAGTCATCGCCAGTGAAATACGCTGGTGCATGCATGCTTGGTATTTTTCGTGATAGAAAACACCGACGTACGATAACACGAAAACAACTATAGTAAATCCTGTCAAACCGATGAGGCTGATTGATTTAATTCTGTACTACAGAATCCCACATAACATAAATAACATATTAAATGCTGTTTTTTTTCCCTAAACGACACCCTGGAGAAGTGACGTTCTTGCTGGACGATCTTCACTTTTCACCCAAGAAATTCAGCTTTCTGGAACACCTCAGAAATTTAAATGCATTTATTTGCTTATTATTCGTCTCTGTATTAACTGATTAGTTCATTCTGGTAGTTTAAGCCCGTCCCATCAACTGAAATACCTCTTCACAAAGAACAATAGAATGACAATCCATCAACCTGATCTGAGCTTTTAGTCAGGCAGAAACATGGCCAACATCTCGCTGAGCAAAAGTTGGGACGCTTGAATACAATTGAAATAATTGTCCATTTTCACCCATTCTGATAAGGAGTGGTCCGTAAAGATATGTTTAAATTTATAACAAAACTGTTTTATCTAATGTTATTAGAGTATAGTTAGAAGATCTTTCTAATTCTGTGAAGAACTGCAACGTTTCGCTATCTGTTTCTGCTTTTGGGTCCTGCTGGTACGCGCAGTTTGCTTGCTTGTCTGCTGGGCAGGAAGAGCTGGACAGTGGCGAAAACTACTAGCGAATGTAAACAACAGGCATTTCTTACTTCAGATATGCGATAACACAGACGGACAAGCAGTGTTGGACATTTAATACACATGGCTTTTAAATGCTCTTTCAGCCAACACTCTCTTACTCTTGACCAGTAACCCTGATCCAGGTTGGCTTTTTAAAAAACAGTTAGCGCGTAGCTAGTCAGCTAAACGAACCTAGCTAGCTATTGACAAACCTCAGCAGCGGTGCTTGCTCGCCAACTTTTCAAGCTGTTTTTTGCATAATGCACGTCGTAGAGCCAGACAAAGCAGTGGGCAGGCTGAGCTTCGTAACGTGTTGTATAGCTTTGTTTTAAACGCGGTGAAGGCTGCTTGGGTACGCGAAATGTGCATCGACATATTCTGACGTGCTGTCAATGTAGCTAGCTAGCTCGTTAGCTTAGCTTAACCTTAGACTGAACATACTAGACCAAGTGTCGCTCTGCTAGCTAGCTAGCTAATGCCAGATAAAGTCGCAGATACAACAAAAACCACATATGTTGTGGGAAGAGTCTGTGTTTCAGTTACTTGGATATGTTTTGTGTCTGACCAACGTAGTCAGCGAAGTAACTCGCTAGCATTTGTAGCTCGTTAGCAAGCTAGCTAACGTTAGTTTGTGTGGCAGCTGTGCAAATAGCCTGCTAAGCTAGCTAGTTGATGTCATTTCCAAGTAATTGCTAGCTATCTGGCATGACACCAAGCAATACAGCTGCTGGTAACCCAGAAACTACAGTTAGCTTTTTGGAGCACAATGCTCGTCCCATCTTCATAAAATGCTAAGAAAGGTGCTAAAGTTACTGTACATGTTGGCACACCGTTAAAACCGCTGGCTAATATGGATCTACCTAAAAGAGTCGGTACGAGGTGAAGAAGGTGGACGGGGAAGAGCTGATGGACACGCTAAAGCTTATGGACAGAGAGCGATGAATAATCAATATTCAAATGGTAAGCAGCCCAGTCAGTGCAATGTTTACAATGATATATAACATAAGCCACAATAAACATTTTTTTGTTGTTGTACTAATTTTAGCTAGAGATTTTGGTTAAACCAGTGTTTAGCAATCCTGATCTGGTAGTACCACTCCCCTGCATAGTTTATTGCAAGGGTGGCGAACTCTAGTCCTGGAGACTAAGTACAGTTTGGTGATTTCCCTGTTCAAACACACCAGACTAAACTCACCAGGTAATTACCAGGGTAGTTGATGTGTTAAGAGCAGAGAAATCACAAAGCTGTTTTGGACATAGGCAGTTTGCCACCCCTGGTTTAGTGATTTCTCTTTTCTAACATTAGCTGATGAGCTGAATGAGGTGTGTTAGAGTAAGAAAAACAGTGGTACTTCAGAACCAGGATAGAGAACTGCTTGGTTAAACAGTTTCAGATAGATCATTTGCTGGATGTTGTTTCACATAAACATTTCTGTTTTATCAGGTTTTTGAAATATTTCAGTCATGGGTGACATGAAGACCCCTGATTTTGATGATCTCTTGGCTGCCTTTGACATCCCTGATGCTACTAGTTTGGATGCCAAAGAGGCCATCCAGGAGAGTCAGGATGAGGCAGAGGGCCACCTTAAGCACTCAGAACTGTGCATGGATGCCACAGTGTCTGTCCCTCACCCAGCGACTACTTTGGATGCTCCAGCCGTTAGTGTTATAGTAAAAAACACTAATCGCCAGGACTCTTATGAACCCCTTATGGAGAAAGATAGCTCACAATTGGGACATCTGTTGCAAAATGGGTTCAGGAGTTCTTCTAGCTCCCTTGAAACACATCTTGTTGGTCACAGCGATTACACCATGTTGGATACATCACCTCTGAACGGGGACTGTTCGAGTAGTTTCTTGGAAAAAATTCCTTTGACCTACAGGACAGAAAAAGTTCCGCCTCTCTCAGAGTCGGTGCAGGACTTTAGTCCTGTGTCCAGCCCAGACTCAGAAGAAATTCAAAGCAATACTATTAATAATCATCCACATCATGGAGATTCATATTTCCCAAATGACTCACTGTTTGTGTCTGCAGAATCTTCTATATCTGACAATCATGGAAAATCACAAGCATACAGCATGATTGACAAGTGCCATAGAACAGATCCTGGTTCTAAAATAGTGAACAGTCCCAGTGGTGATACCATATTTGATAGAGATGGGAGTTCAGAGTGTAAAGAAGATCAAGTAGAAAAGAGATGTGATCCAGTGACAATGGATGATTGTATTGATGATGCTGGAACAAGTGCATACCCAACTCCTGAAACCAACCCTTCCTCTCCTCGTACATTTGTCAAAACTCAGACCTCCAAACTGTCTTCTTGTCTTGATGCATTGGTGGCTTTGAATGCGAAAAATGAACCGAGTGAGCAAACAAGTCCAAGGGACTTGCCGGTGATTCGTAAAGAGATGACGAAGGTTAGTCCCAAAGTGCCCATATCACCAAGGAGTCCAAGAAGCCCTCTTGAAGTAGTAAAACGGTTAATTAAACAACCTGATAGCCCTATGAGTGTATGTAGTGACAGCAGTGGAAAAGCATCTCCTGCTCTCGTCGGTGGCTCACCTCCAGCCATACCAAGAGTCAGAATAAAGACAATCAAAACATCCTCTGGACAAATTAAACGGACTGTTACTAGCATATTTCCAGATTCTGAAACTGAAGACCTCCAATCACCTTTTGGGTCATCTCCCTCTCAGTCATCAGTTGAAGATGCCTTCTCTAAAACATTGGCTGTGTGTCATTCCCATGATATCATCAGTGAAGATATTTTTGAGAATGGAAAGCAGGAGTCCTCAAAGATACCTCTCTCGGGTCACTCATCAGCAAGTATTGAAGCGCTTAAAAGCTCAAAGAAATCCCAGTCACCAAACAGTAACTGCGGATTGAAAAGGACTCTGAAAGCAAATAAGCAGAGGAAGTTATGTCCATCTCAAGCAGGCTACTCTACCAATCCAAATTACCTTCCCAAAGCATTACACTTAGCCAACCTAAATCTAGTCCCCCACAGTGTTGCTGCTTCAGTTACAGCAAGGTCCTCCACCCACAGGCAGGACCATTCTCAGCTGTCCTCTTCCACAGTATGCAGCAGTGTACCTTTAGTGCACCAAGTTCAGAAAACATTAGCAAACACACATGCCATTATTCCCAATACTGCTGCTGGAACTTTAAACAGACTGTTGAATTACTCTAACCCTGTGCCAACTTATGTGCCCAACTTAAGTCCACCACCTGACAGCAACATCAGGCTCCCAGCTCACGGCTACTGCTGCCTGGAGTGTGGCGATTCATTCGGACTTGAGAAGAGCCTTGCTTTTCATTATAGTAGAAGGAGTGTTCACATTGAAGTGACCTGTGTACACTGCTCAAAAACCCTTGTGTTCTTCAACAGGTGTGCGCTCCTAGCACATGCTCGAGATCATAAGAATAAAGGCATGATGATGCAATGCTCACAGCTGTTCATGAAGCCTATTGCTGTCGATCAGATGTTGATGCCCTCCAAACCTGACCAGTCTGCATCACAGACGACTCAAGGGAGAAGCACTGTGCACTTAACCAACAACCAAGCTGCAATGCCTCTCTATCCAGATAAAGATGTCCGATATGGACTCAAATGCCTGGAATGCAATAAGCAGATGTCAGATTATGTGGCACTTGCAGGTCACTATCAAAGGTCATCCACAGAAACTGAGGGTTTGGTGAGTAGAAGAGTTTTGATTTGATTTGAACATTCTGATATGATTTGATTTCACTAAAATCAGTGGTTCTCTGTTTGGGTCCTGGAGTACCACGGTCCTACATGTTAAATAATGTGCGTGTTTGTGTGTGTATAATTAACCTACACTTTATTTTGGCTGCGTTCTCCTCAAAAACATCTGTAAAACAGACCAAAACTGATACGTGCCATCTGGCTAGTAAACTACAACCATTTCACCTCCCACATAAACCACATAATGGGTGCTGAAACCTGGTCCTACCACCCTGCAGAGTTTAGCTCCAACCATAATCTGATCCAACAGGAGCATTTGAACATTAGAGGCCGGTGTGTTGCATCTACACTCTCCAGGACAAGGATTGGGCATTACGAACCACATTAACCTGCAGGTTTCTGATTCAGAAAACACTACGGCCCAACTTGCATTTGGAAGCAGCATAACACAACAAGTTCACCTAAGGAAGGGTTTGTTTATTAGGTTATTATTTGCATTATTTATGTGGGAAGCAGGGAAACTCTGAAATATGCAGAACAGTGCTACTCCAGGGCCAAAATTGAAAACCACTAAGATGGTCCATGGCAGCTGTAAACATTTATTCCTAATTAGTGTTGTAAGTAAGAGGTATTTATCTTTGTATTTGATGGTGTTTGTTCAAAACAGATGTGCAAGGTTTGTACAATGCTGCTCCCAAACAAGTGCAGCTACAGAGCCCACCAGCGGATCCATGCCCACAAATCCCCATTTTGCTGCCCTGAATGCGGGGCTCTCAGTCGTTCTGTGGACTTTCAGAAGCATGTGAAAGGGGAATTGTCTACACTATGCACGGAAAGTTGGCTACTCGTAAGTAACCTGGACTGTAACTAGCTTTCATTTATTTATAGCTACAAGGTTGATGCATTTTTAATTAAACTTGTGTACTTTTTTGTTTGTTTTTGTTCAAATTATCCTTTTTTTAGGTGCCTGCATTGTGAGACACTTTTCATGTCACTTCCTCTCCTGAAGAGTCATATTGAGGAGAAACATTGTGAGGTCTTCTATAAATGCACCGTCTGTCCTGTTGCTTTCAAAACATCTGATGGCTGCCTCATGCATGTGAAGAGTAAGCATAGTGGCAGTGAACCTTCATATCAGTAAGTGGGTCTATCAGTTTCCTCCTTTCAGACCCCATCAGCATTATTGATTTCTTAATGGCCTTATAGAAGAATAAAAATGTTATTTCTCCTGCTCTTGCAGGTTGATCCACAAGTGCTCCTGTGAAACTGTTTTTAAGAAGAAACAGCTATTATATCAACATCTCCATCAGCGTACATGTATATTCAGGTGTCCTGAGTGCACATCGTTCTTCATGCAAAAATTAGCCTTGGTGCAACATGTCAAGGTTTGTAGTTTAACTGATAAAGTGTAAAAGTTTGCACTGTTTTGTCAGTGTAATGGCACTGCATGTTACTATAACCAAAACACTTTTTTGGTTTTCCCCAGGGGGTTCATGGAGATGTCTTCAGAGGTGAAACAGAAATATGTCCAAAGCTAGAAGCAGAATCAGCTTCACATAATTTGAATTCTGTGTCATCAAATCGCCAGACAAAGCTAACCAAGCCCAGTAATGGGGCTGTCAAGGAAGTTAGGGACTGCTCAACTTCACAAAAGTCCAGTAATGTGAAAAACTCTGGCTGGACCTGTGGAGAGTGTCTTCTGTGGGTGCCAGACAGAGAGACCTATGTCAGTCATATGAAGACCAGCCATGGCAAGGTGAGGACTGTTTTTGTCATTTAAGAGGAAATTTACATTAGTACCTAGACCTGAGTTTCAGTAGTATTATTATTGTTATTACTTTTATTTATTTGTTTGTTTGTTTATTAATTCTTGTAGTCGGTGAAGAGAAATCCTTGCCGGTTGTGTGAAAGGTCCTTCAATTCCTCCACAAGTCTGAGACGACACATTCGTAATGACCATGACAGGAAGAAGAAAGTTTACACTTGCTGGTAAGATGAAGATGACCCTACAGAACAGTAAATCTATTAGAGAGGATATTGGATCTTTTTCAGTAATAGAGATTTTAGTAATATAGCTACTATTGTGATCTGTGTCATATACAGTCATAATTTTACAGTAAGGATTACCTGCACCTTGAGCTGCCACAGGTAAAAAAAAAAAGTGCTCTATGAATGAAGTTGTTTTTGCTATTATTATTATTATTATTATTAATAATAATAATAATAATAATAATAATATTATTCAAAACAATGTCTCAGGCATCAGACCATATATTTCTAACCATTTCATATAATTCTATATTAAATAATAATTTTCATATAGCTTTGTGTGATGTAGCTTTTAGAGGCATTAAACACTTCAGACATCTGGTTCCCATCATTACCACTGTGGATTCTGACTCAGTTTCTCTGGAACAGAGCATTTTACATTAAACTAGTCTGAATGACTGTCTTAACTATTTGTGTTGGAAAATCATTGGAATTTCCCTTTAACAATATGCTTTTGTCTTAGTTGGCGTTTGTCTAGCCAGCTGCATTTTTTTAATCATGTACCTCTTTTAAAGGTATTGCACAAATGAGAGGATGACTTGCACTCAGCTCTCCATGTTAAAGAACCACCTCAGCTTGATGCATGGAATCAAGAACCCAGACTTCAGTCTCATGGCCAAGTTAGCCTCTCAAGAGACAAGTAAACATATGAGGCTGGTAAGCGCAAATGTCTCCTATATTCATTGGAATATAAAATCCAATTGCTTGGTTTGTTTCAGTACTTGGGGACCAATGTCCCACATGGCCATACACTCTTATTTGGATTTTTTTTATACAGTGATATGGTATATACTGACAAGTGACCTGAGGTGGTGTTCAGAGTGGTTGTCCTGTGTTACTCCTAGGGGCCTAAGAGAGCTGCACCGAAGGACAGCAAGGATGCAGGAGACAGTGGGACATCACACTCTACTCCTGCCAAACGACTGAAGCCACTTTTCCGCTGCGCCAAATGTGGCCTCACCACTGAGGACCCAGTGCAGTTTCAAGAACACATACCTCAACACAAGACGGATGCCGATACACCCCAGTGCCAGCACTGCGGCCTGTGTTTTACATCGCAGCTGGCACTTAGCAGGCATCTCTACATTGTGCACAAGGTGAAGGAGCTCGAGGGGCAGGAGGATAACAAAGAGGACTTGTCAGATCTTGAAGGCACAGGGATGCAGGCAGTGGGGGAGCCATTAACGAACCAACAGAGTAAAAAAAGTCAGCATAGACTTCTTTCACCTGGAAAGACTGTCTTGTGCACATCTGAACTTCAGACTGAAACAGGCAGCCAGACTTTGGCACTTGAGTCCTTGGAAAGTGATTGTCATTCTAGTGGCAAAGTTCAAACTTCAGGAACAAATGGAAGTTCTGTGGAAGAAGAAGAGTAATGAACCTGTTCAGTCGAGCTGCTATACATCGCACGTTTTCAGAGCGAATAATGGCTGGACAAGCTCTCCAACAGTACAGTATATGCAGCAGACAAATGTAATATCAAAACACGTTGCCTTACAGTGAAATACATATTTATCTCAAGTCTTACTCAAGCTAAAAAACTGTTTAGAGCAAGTAGTTAAAAATGCCACTGCATCATATTCATGGAGTAACATAACACCATTCATGCAATTAATCTTGTCTGTTTTTCTCCTGCGCTTCTTTACGTCTTTGTATGTCACACTTATGTATGTGGATAATCATAATTTATTTCCATTTATCTTCAAATCATGATGGCAGTGTAACTTTGTTTTTCTATGGAGCAAAACGTATGTGTATTTGGTACAGCCAACATATCTTCATATCAGATGTATCTTTGGTACATTACTCTGCTGGTTTGTCCAAATGAAATGTTGTCTATGAATTTAATGTTGTATTCAAAGATATGCTGGACAGTCATGCAGCACTTTGACCATTTACAGGGTCACCAAATATGTCATCAGGGCAAATCACAAAGGAAGTGAGTACCTTTTAAACAGCCATAGAAGGAATCCTAGGCGGTGCTTATGGTAGCTATAACCAATGCTGCTTCTGAACAAAGGACATATTTGGTGATAAGTCTGGGATTTTTTTTCAGGTTGCAGTGAGCCTCTTTTACTGAGGGACTATGGATTTTTAACAGTGTTGCTACTGGAAATCAGTATTGTTATTATTGGAGAACATGGTGTGCTTCAGAAAGGTATTCACATAAACCCAGGTATCTGCACTCAGAGAAGATATATTTTCATATTCATTCCATTTACTAGTTTCACTAGCATTTCTATTTAATGAGCCATTCTTACAATCAAATTTAGCACTTTTGTAAATGCATATATGGAGTAACAGGACTTGGTAATAACTTTAATATTTACTCAGATCTATGACATCACTCTTGTGAAACAGTATGTTCAGCATATGTTTAATGTTTTGGGCCTTCATAAATGTATTTTTGAATTATAGTTTGTCATTTATTTTGTTATTTCTGATTGTGTCTGATTAAAACGCTACATCCCAGATGCCCTGTTTGCTGCCTGTTGATTAAAACCATGGTTCTCATACTGGACCTCAAGCCTCCCATATGCTAAATATTGTTGCTCGATCCCAAATCCCAACACAGGAATAAGGCAAAAATGTGAACTGCCAAGGGGGCCCTGAGGACCAGTTTGAGAATCATTGTATTAAAGGTTATTTTCTATCAACAGGTCAGTTCTAATCAGCTCTATTTATTTTACCATATTAGTATCTCAGTACACAACTTTAGGTGAGAGAATGTATAGAACAATAAATGAAAATAGAAAATTCAGCAAAACAGGTTAAACTGATCTGGCATGTTATTAGGAAGGAAGCAAAGAAAAATGAGGTACATTAGGCATCATTTTAGCATGATGTTTCTTATTTACTTTAAAATTATAAATGACTCCTCCAACGACAAATAAGCAGTGAAGAAGTGGTGTAGAAAATTTATCACAACAGACCCATGTATAGGGCAATTCCACTTGCAGGAATTAGAGATGTGAACAAAATCATTCAATGAGCTTTAAAGAGAAATGTTGCATTATAGAAAAATTTATTCATTAAAATTTTCTTTGCAGTGATGGTGATGTGATGGGAATCAGGGGTCCCATTGTAAACAGTGCAAATACAGCGATCATATCTGCTATCCAAAATGGCCAGAAAACCTATGTGTAACGTTGATAATGGTAAAATTGTGGTAAACCTGAAAAAATAAAACTACTATTTTGCCTACAACGTCCTGCAGCTCTGCCCTAAGTGTCTTTGTTTAAAGCCAAAATCTCAAAAACATCATAAAACAATATCCCAGACATCCTTGTATGTGCAATCATTTCATGTTCATCTTTCAGCGAGGCATTAAACTCCTCGGAGATGTGGTTCCTGTCAGCACCGCTGTGAAAAATCTTGACCTTTCAGGTTGATCTACAATGCAACATTTCTCATCAAACCACTCTGAAGGACTTTGGTTACATCTTGAGGATTTCGTTATACAGAAATCTTGATCGGTGGAATTTCCCTAGTCTGCCCACAGACCCATACAGAGCCCCTACGGGGTCGTGGTTAAAAAAAAGTTAATGACATTGCGTTCCCTCGCAAATGTTTTGCATTCCCTCGCAAACAAAATGCGTTCCCTCGCAATATATATGCTCGTCAGACAGCAAGCAAACGTAGGACCAGAGGTGCCCAACGACACTGGCTACATTAGAGCTTTGTTTTTATCACAGCTAATGTTGAAAGCTGTTTTCCCAATTTCGCCAGTCTATACTGAGTTTATTCAGCAATTATTCTCTGCAATCTCTGTAAACGTAGCATTTACTGTACGAGGACACTCGATCTCAGTTTCAGTTTGCGCTCACTAATAACATAATCATGTTTGATTTTGAGAAGCGACACGTCTTTATATTTCAATCCAAGATCAACATAAAATGCTGCTTCATGTCTGAGCTTAAGCAAAGCGCAGCTTTTGCAAGCGAATGCAAACCGTTGCATCATAATGCAAAACATTTACGAGGGAACGCAATGTCATTAACTTTCATTTTTCTTTAACCACGGCCTCTTAGGGGCTCCGCAGACCCACAATCTTTACAATATGCTAGTTCCAAGGTAACGTTACTGAATCATGAGAGTGTAAGGCGCTGAGCTTGACTGAGCCGAATGCTCTTATTTTACCTCCACCACCCTTCAAAGCAGTTTCCTCCGGATGCTACACCACAGGAAGTTGCTTGGTATTCATTCGGCAGCGTTGAATCAATCAACTTTTGAATTTTTTTGTGATAGACTGTAAATAATTGAACGGATACAGAAACCTTTCCACGAAAAAATGCTCTCTTTGGACTTTCTGGATGATGTTCGGCGGATGAATAAACGCCAGGTGCGTATGGAGCAGCTCGCTAGCAGAGATAGCAGTGAGCTTAGGTCTTAGAACACGTCATCTCAGTGTTTCAGCGCCTCAATGTACTGTTGTGCACAATTCATGGATGAATTTTGTTGCTTCTGTCATTTTGGTTGCATGAAGTTGGTAAATTAATTTATTTAACAGCTGCTTCTTGAAGCTTGACGAGGTTAGAGGTTGCTAAAGAGGAAGCTGACATGACAAGCCTCGCCAGCAGTAACGGCTAGCTAAGCTAGCTACGTTAACTAGGTGTTTTCCGTACAACCGGAGTTCTTAGTAAAAAAGGGTATGGCTTGGCGAAAAAGGCCATACTTAACGTTAATGGTTGGTGTGTATATATACTCAGCTTTACAGTTGATCAGAGAACTTTATTTACCTTTTATTACTGAACGGTCGGTGTATCCCACTTCAAACTGAAGAGCATATGGTTAACCTAAGCTGACTGATCACTGTGTTACTGACCGTTATGTCACTTTTCAGCTGTATTACCAGGTGCTGAATTTTGGGATGATTGTATCTTCAGCCTTGATGATTTGGAAAGGCTTAATGGTCGTGACTGGAAGTGAAAGCCCAATTGTGGTTGTTCTCAGGTAAGGACGTTTTAACGGCTTTGAATACTCACGGCGATGACCAGACGTGCCCAGTATCAAATGCAGCATACAAAGCATTAATTTTCTCTAGACAAAGCCAAATTAAGACATCAACTCCTTGGGTACCTATTTCGACCTTTTTATATCACTGGAGTGCAGAAGTACGGTAGATGTTCGTGCATAAATGCATACATTTTTTCTTTGTTGCAACTCAGCGGGAGCATGGAGCCTGCATTTTACAGAGGAGATCTCCTCTTCCTCACAAATCGTGTGGACGATCCAATAAGAGTGGGAGAAATCGTGGTGTTCAGGATTGAGGGAAGAGAGATCCCCATTGTGCACAGGGTGCTCAAAATTCATGAGAAGTAAGTAGACTTTTAGCCATAAATGTTTACAGCAAAAGTGCACCAGCTGGAACCGCTTTACTTTCTCTAAAAAGTGCTCTAAATACAGTGCCCTCCACAAATATGGGCACCCCTGGTAAACATGAGCAAAACAGGCTTTAAAAAACATTAGTTATTGCTTATGATCTTTATCTTTCACTCAAAATATTAACAAAAATCTAACTTTTCTTTAAAGTACAGTGATTTTAAAAAATGGCTGTATTTTATCAGGAAATCAATATTTTTTTCTCAAATCTGTGAGTCTTCTCTTATAATGCTGAATGAGAGTGGCAAAGGCCCCGAGACTTTTCCTCCATACAGACTTGTAACATGTTCAGTTGTTTTAAGCTACTTAATTGTTGACCTGTTGGTGGAAATGAGTGTTTTCAGCTGTTTAGCTATTTCTTGTAGCTTTTTCCTGATTTGTGCAGCTCAACAACCTTTTTGTCACACATCATTATTGTTTTCTCTGGTCTTTCTCATAGTGTTGGATGACTGAGGGAATTTGTTACATCTTATATATATTCCCCAGTGAAACAGGAAGTCATGGCTGACCGTTTACATGCTCCTAATTGCTCACGAGAACTTAAAACCATAAAACATGAACGTGAATATACTTCAGTTAGATTTCACCTTTAGGAATTTGTCAGGGTGCCAACCATTGTGGCACACACAAATTAAGTTTTTTTTTGTTTTTTTTTGGATTAGTTTTTTTACCTTATGTAAATGTTAGATTTTTGCTAATATTTTGAATGAAAGAACACAATTTTGCTCATGTTTACCAGGATTGCCAATATTTGTGGAGGGCACTGTATGTGTTAAAGCATGTTACATGGCATTCATGTCTGCACTCACTAATCCAAATTTCTCGTATTTGGTGAAGTAAACTTATTCTGATTCTGAAAACTTTGATCAAGTTCCTGTTTTCTCCTGTGCCATTTAGAGTGAATTATGCCCAACTTTCAAAGCTTCTGTATAATTGAATCATTAAGATGTAAACAAAGTCATTCCGAGTGGTTTGGTGTGAAATTCATAGTTATAATTGTACTGAGTCGGACAGCTTGAAGCGTTTAATATCACACAAAGTTATTACACAGATTTGTTCTAAATATGCTGCCTGACGCCTGCGACATTGCTATGCAAAAAAGCTTTTGGCATAAATGTATTTTTAGCACACAGAGAGGGCAGAGCAGGAGTTTTAAGTCTAAAGAGTACCCACAGATTTTTTCATATTTACCATTACTTTACCCAGACCAGAATCCCAAATAAAATGGCTGTATTTGCCTTATATACACCTCGACCCCTGGCTCCTGTCACAGCCATTGTAAAGAAATCAAGAGTTGACAAATTTCTCTATAATTAGCCATTTAACATCAAGCCCCTCTGAATAAAGCAGTTAACCTCTTCACTTAATATCCTGCTTTCAGTTGACTTCAAATTGCTGGAAATAACTTCAGTATTCATTCATTCATTCATCTTCTAAGGGAACTTTAATTGTACTAATTTTCTTTTTAGAGAAAATGGAGATATTAAGTTCTTGACGAAAGGAGATAATAACTCTGTGGATGACAGAGGCCTTTACAAGCGAGGACAGCACTGGCTAGAGAAGAAAGATGTGGTGGGCAGAGCCAGAGGGTAAGCTCCAGCTTAGTGCAGACACACTCATTGCTCATCATTCACTGTATTTTCAATTAATATAAATTGAGACTACAACTGGAAGATCATTACAGAGAAAGTAACATTTATTTCTGTAAGGTTACAAATGCAGTAAAATGAATACACTGAAAATATTTTTGCTTAGTAGCCCAGCACCAACTGAATGTTCTGCTTTTTCAGGGTACAATAAATATATTATCAGTTTGAAACATCGGCTAATCTAAACATCCATCTAATGCATATTGCAATAGCAAAAAAAATATATATATATTATGATTCTGGTATCGTTGCGCATTACTGCTCTCCATGTTTAATTGGCTCTCATTACATACAGCTTTATGGAAATTAATCAATGAGTTTTTTTTACAAGGCATTCATGGTATACCATTCTTAATCATTTTTCCTCTCTAGGTTTGTGCCTTACATAGGAATTGTTACAATTTTGATGAACGACTACCCTAAGTTTAAGGTAGGCCCTCTCTGCATGATAAACAAAAACATGTTTCAGTAATTAAGTGCATCATATGTACCGCAAAAGCACATTTTAACGTTTCTTAACACAGTACGCTGTTCTATGTATGCTCGGACTCTTCGTTTTGGTACATAGAGAGTGACACTCCTCCACCAAGGACATGACGAAACAAACCACAGAGTGAAACCCTTTCGTGGGCCAATTTTTGCTAGAGTGTTAAGTTTGCTTGTGAAAATCGTGCACTTGTTAAAGCAGGTCAAAGATATTTTTAATTCTGTAAAACCCAAACATCCAGAGAGGCGTACAGTTAACAGCACTGGTAACATTTGTACTTGTTAATCTCGCCATGGCATACCAAACCAACTTTTGTGTTTTTTCTTTCCTTCCTGTTGATGTTCATGCACCACCTGTTCTAATCTCTCAAACCTGTTTCTAAAGTTAAGAATTTTGTATGGAATAAAAAATTGAATGAAATATTGGCTTCCTTTCTTTAATGTCAGTGGTTTAATGTAGTAGTCACCAGCCCTCCTCTTGGAAATCCACTTTCCTGGAGAGTTTAGTACCAACCTGCAGTATAACACACTGCCCCTTTCCTACACCTCCACTAATGCATCTGATGCACCCAATCAAAGACTTGGGAAGAAGAAGAGGCTGGAGCAGAATGTGGTTCAAACTTCAACCCACAGAAAGGCAGATCTTTTGGGTCAGGTTTGGTGACCACCGGTTTAGTGGATATAAGAACACCTTTACAATAAAATTAGCATTTGTTTGCTTTTTTTTTAAACAAAAAAACATAATCTGAACTGGGTGTTAAAAGCAGACAAAAATACCTGGCACTGCCTTTCTGTAGCCCTTTAGGGCCAATTGCTGCATTTGAATATAGCCAGGTTCTCCTAAGCCAAGTTTTACCTAACTGAGAGGACTTATTGTGCCTCCCCATCCGCCCCCTTAAGATTTTTTTTTCTGATTTTACTTTTCACGCACTAATTGTTTCTGATTCTCCAAGCTAGGTTCATTCCCATGTGGCACAACAGTACTCTCTCTGCAAAGTCTGCTCATACTTCAGAGCTTTTTCGGCTTGTTGCGGTGTCATTCCAAGCTGCAGGACGTGTAGCTTAGAGTGTGCGGTAAGGCACTCGTCTGAATCAGTGCGTCATACCACAGTGTCCACTGTCCACTCCCTCTCCCATGTGGCCACTTGCTATTTTACTCTCCTCCTGGAAATGTTAGCACACTTGTTCTTGCTTATATTCAGACCCAAGACTGTAGGTAACATTACTGTGTCTTCACACTGACATGGGATGATGATGCATTTTGTTTATAAATATAAATCTCAAGCTGATGCACCTATACATGTATGAACATTGACTTATTGATGCCCAATTCTGTGATTTAACACTTTTTGATGTGCTGATAAATGTGCTGTTTTACAGCAACTTGCTCAGAACTGTTCACAGCAAAAATCTGAAGTGTTAAAATAGTAATTTAAATAAACATAGAATGGTTATAGGTGCATTGCTCAATTGTTTTTTCAGATAGTTTTGAAGTACACTTTTGGCCAGAAATGTATTTTTTAAATCAATTCATGGCTGAGGGGTGCATGGGTGGAGTTACAAGGCAAAATAGTGCTCAAAGAAAACAAATGTTTTACCATTATCAAAATTACCTATGTAGAACTCAGAAAACACATGTAGATTCACTGGTCATTTTTGGATAGTATATGAAATAGCTATATTTGTGTAGGACCCCAGGTTCCTATTATCACCAGTGTAAGGAAATCTAAAATCATAGTCTTTGTTACTCTTTTTTCATGAAGAGTACTAATAATGGTGAATGGTGCTGTATATAGTGTTACTGTTATGTATGATGCTATTTTCTTAACACCAGACCCACTGAAAAATCAACCCCTCCTCAAAAGGATTATGACAGATGAGCAGTTCAGTGAGCATGGGCTAGCCTTTGTGCCAGGAGCAGGTGTTGTTATTGATGATAAGTGTACCTGCATCTCTGCACCCTAGTAAGGGTGTCCTTTGAGCATCAAGAGAAAATGATGCAGGAAAAGGCTGATTTACCACATATACACATCCGGAAACTGAGATTTAAATCTTTGGAGCTTGTCCCCCCTGTTCAGTGGGAACCACTGATGCAGCTGAATGTGTACTTTTCAGTCATATGTCTCCTGATCCCTGAGGAAGACTGTAGCTGAAATGTGCTTTACTCTCTCTCCTCCTCCCCCCATCAAAAGCTATTTCTTCACCTTAGGGTCGAAAATTAGGGATGTATTATATAATCTTAGGTCTTTGGAAGGAAAGTGACTTGCATAATATTGAGACCAAGCATTGTATGGAACTGATTATGAAAAATGTTTTCAAATGTGACCTCACTCTCTAACCATCTTTTGTCAGTTAAAACATTTTATATGGACTTAAAGATCTCTCTCACCAAAAGCATTTGTCATTTAGACTAATGAAGCACATCTTTTAAAATATAAGGCTTTAAAGGGGCATTTCACTGATTTTTTAAAGAATTGAATAGTAATTGAATACTTAATTGAATACTGTTTTACATTATCAGCATTACATATAAAAACATTTGAATGCCAAATAAATGGCTTTATTTGCGTTGCTGGCATTGAGACTCCTTGGTTCCCATCACCACCACTGTAAAGAAATACAAGTTGTTAAGTCGTTTTACAAAGCATCATTTAATATCATAACACTTGGAATGACTTTTATCTCAAAGACTGAATTATGTAGAAAAAAATGGTGGAATTCCTTTTGAGAGACTATTATACATTAAGTCATATATTCAGTTTGGCACATTGAATGCTTCCAATTTTTTTTTTTCACTTTGGAGTCAAATGTTTTTTCTCACTTTATAATTCATCTTCTTTTCTACCAGCTCAATGAGAAAAACCTGTGAGTCTCCAAAGAACTCAACAAGATGCACATTCATAGCATGGACATCTAAATAACCATGAATCATGCTATGGAATTCAGTTTTTCTTTACTAATTGTGTATGTTAATTCATTGTTTTCGCGTTTATTTGATTGGTACATTCCTTTGGGCAAAGGACGGGAATGAGGCTCTGGTATCTACAGTGGCTGTGAATGAATTTGTATCAGAGAGGTGGTGAAATAGCTCAGCAGAGTGAGCTCAGCATAGCCCTCCCTACTGCGCTCCTATAAATATCCACCGCCTCATCCCCAGACATGAAACTGTGCCTTAAAGGCAGGACAGAAACGAAGAACATCACCTAGCATTCACTTTTACCTACTTGGACATTAGGCTGGAGATGGCTGTGAGATCCTTAGGCGGAATCTGCAAACTTGGACTACTCTTGCTCTCCTTGGTCATGCTGTCCTACTTACCTATAGGTACATCAGTCAGTCTCGATTTAACTGAGCTGAGAAACAAAGTTTCAAAAATCAAAGTAAATCCACGAGGGAATCTTTGGGCAACAGGTAGGCTTTGTAACTAATTTAAAGCTTTTAGCTTGTGTTAGCAAAAAGGGGATGGTAGTGATAATCTGTATTCTCTGAGTTATTTGTATTCTGTATAAGTATCTGCTTTTGTTCTGTATGTATGTTCTCTATTAGTATTTGTATGACTATTTACATTCTCAGTTGCAATTTCATGGACGCTGCAAGCAGTTTTGCACATTTTTGCCACATAGACTAACATATAGCCATGAAGCACTTGGATGAATTATGCATCACCTCTTTTTCTTTCATTTGTTCCCCTTTTCTAGGACATTTTATGGGTAGGAAGAGTATTCCGGACAGCTGTGTAGATTTGTCCGAGCTGAATCAGGACCAGAGAGCCATGCAGCATCCCCAACAGAGGACAGATCATGTCAACCAGGTCATTTCAGCTGATTTATCCACACCAAATGCTCCTTATTTTAAATCAGATCTCAGTTTGTCTGCAGTTACTCAGTGAACATACTGTTAACTTGAAAGATGTTTTAACAGTGTTGTTCTTGTCTTCTACTTTTTTCTCCTTTCAGGACATGGACTTTGTGGTAAAGCTTTTGAAAAGCTACATTGCAAAAAGGAAACGATAAGATTGCCATAACGTTACCACTGATAATACGGACATTTGTGCTAACATACAGAAGCAGATTTCCACAGAGCTACTCACGACCTCCATTTCATGACTGTCCGAATAAGGAGCTGGGATTCACCTAACATTCTGTGCAGCTTATTCATAACTAATATACCAGCAAGACATATTTTGATATCATACGTGTGATACATTTTAGTATAACGTCCAAATATTAAAAGAAGATAAATTAAAAATTATTTTTTTGTTGTGTTAATTCACTCAAAAGGTGATGAAAAGGTTTGTAAGCTATTCTTTCAACAAGAGACATAATGTTGATGATCATACTGGTTAAAATGAGAGGTCTGTTGAGCATGGAAAACATACATACTACAACGGGTATGTGTGATAAAATACATGACATTTATTAAATAGTATGAGATCTACTGCAAAGAAATATACTGATAACTTTGTTGTTTTAATCTGTGCACTGTTTCAATTAGACATGATTCAGTGCTGTAAAAAGCAAAAACTTTCATTGATCAATAGAGAGATCATCTTGCCCCAGTGCTGTTATCCAGATGGGACCATACAGTTGCTCCGGGTGTTGCAAGCCAGCTGATCCACTTACATAGACATGTTATTAATATGTCCTCAGTCACTTTATGCCATGAACTGTGTAGAATGCAATTTAGCTTAACTTAATGATGAATTTCAGAGATGAGGACCATATAGGCAAGCATAAACATAAACATAAAAACAGATACTGCACATCTCTCATACAGTATGTATGTATATACATGCATATAACTGTTATAAATAGTGGATTCTCAGCTGAATCAACTGAATGTATTTATCACAATCATGCACCATAAAACCTGTTTTAACTAATTATCCGCATACTACGTATACACTTGTAGTTTAAACATGTATGTTATGTGATATGTGGTTATGGCATAATAAAGGTAATACATTTATTCAGTACAATTTCAGAGCTGTGCATAGAGAGATATGGAAAACATCAATGATTGATAAAAAAAGTATAATACAATATAATATAATTGATAAAAAAATCAGATGTTATGTTTTTAGAGAATATGTGTTTAAGGGGAAAAAATAGAAAGAAAAGAAAATGGGTTCTTATAAATTAACGAGAATCAAAAAATACGTCTTTATATTTTTCTAACACTTTTTGTTGGTGTCCGCGCGCCCCCTGCTGCTCCAATGAGAAGAGAAAGACTTATTATTGATGTGTGATGTAATCGGAATATAACCAATGAAAGAACAAGCATGAGCGTGATCACATCCTGTTTATTGCGCGAGCGGCCGATTTCTTCACTGATCTCAGATCTGCGACAAAAGGCCGATCCGTACTGAGCATGCGTTCATGAGTCAAACACGTTTTCTAACCACACAGATTATTTCATCCCAAAATGCCCCTAATTTTAATGTGCGGCTACCCCTGCAGCGGTAAAAGCCGACGCGCGCACGAATTAAGAGATCACTTCACTGAAAATACAGACCGAAAAGTTTACATTGTGGGAGATGAAGAGCTCGGAGCGGACAGGAACTCCGTGTATGCAGGTGAGAACAAGCTGCTGCTAAAGCCGCTAACAAATGTGAGTTTACGAGATTTTCTGGTTTTAACAGAACAAAACGGAACCCAGGCTACAGACAGTCAACATGCTGCACCTGTTACCCCGCTATTGTTTATTTGAGATATTTGGAGCTCTGCAGTGAGTTGACGTGAATAGCTTGGACGTAAATGTTCCATTAAGTGAGAAAGAGGTGCAGAGATAAAGCCCAGGCGGGCTTAAGCCCCTAACTCCTTGCCCTCAGACTGTACAAGTGGCCCCTTGGTCGGCGTGTATAAAAGTATTTTATTTGGCCATTCTTCAAGATCCATTTCAGCGAAGCGAGGCTCAGCCTCGCCCCGAGAATAGAGCTGGTGGGTCCGCTCGAGTTCTACGAGCTGTATCGCTCTTGGGCGCCCCCTCTGGTGCAATACCGAGTCTACATTGATTTAACCTGACCTGCCACGCATCGCTACAGTTATGCGTCCCACCAATACAGCACTGATAATATCTTTAAGAAAACATCACATCGCATAACGTGTTTTTTTGCACATGCAAACAAAGTGGCTCTAATAACCTACTAAACCAAGTTCTGGTGATTGTTAAAAAAACATTAATGCACGGCTCCGCAAATATATACAAGTTGGAAGGTTTATAGTAATTAGGTTCATAGTAATTACACAGCATAAGGCCTACCGTTCCTCAGGAAGCTCATTCCGCCAGGTAGAGGAAATACATTTTTTTAATCTCTTTCTCTGGTTTTGGCAGCAGTAATTACTTATTACTTAAAGTAATGACTTTCTCGAAGCATCTCAAAACAGTCATTACTATTATTTCAAGAAAGTATGTCATTATTTCAGGTTAAGTCATTATTATGAGATGGTAAGTCATTTATTTCGACATAGTAAGTGGATATTTGGAGAAAATGATTTATTGAATGTTGAGAAATGCACTTAATAATCTGATAACTGCAGAAAATTAGATTTTGTCAGTAATTCATTCAGCACGTTTACATGCACTTAGGTGATGAGATAATGGGACTCTGGGTCTACATGAGTCAGGCAGTAATTGGATTTCTGCTTTGCAGCTCACCAATAAACTCACAATAAGACATGACGAAACAAAATGTAAAATTAAACATGCTGCAGCTTTTTTTTTTTAAAACAGTGAGTGTACATATCTAGGAGATGAAGAATATTTAATTTTGAGCATGTAGTGGGTTTCAGCAAATCCAGCTCTCTTGATCAGATTTTGTAGTCAGATTTCTAGTCCTTAATCCAATTTTGGAAATCAGAGTGTGCTGTTTCCATGACCACTTGAATAATCAGATAACTGCCGAAATCCAGAAATGATCGGATTGTTAGTGCATGTAAACAGAGTCATTGTTTCGACATGGTACTGTTGGGTAATTTTCCACAGTGTGACTAGGATACAAAATACAAAACACCCATTCATTATTTCTGTAATGTGATATACCCCAAAACTAAAAGAGATGACCACACATTATATTTCAAAAGTAAAACAGATAAAAAAATGTCATAAATAGGTGTTTTTCATGACAAGATTACAGGAACATGAAGAAGGAGGCATAATTAAAAGAATGGCTAAAAATAGAGAAAAAATATTCAACTCATCAGCACCTTCACACAAACACGCATAACCTCATGTTAAAAAACTTTTAAGAATAGAGAGAGAATGCAAGAGACAAAGTGGTGGGGGTGAGAGTTGTCTTCCCTGCCTAACACAAACTTGGTCAAAGCAATTATAGCTTTATGGAAATTATAAGTTAAATTGAAAATCTACATATACAATTGCTGATTCTTTATTGCAAGTCAAAACTATTATAAAGCCAACTTGAATTGGTTCAAAAACACAACACAGTGCCATTGGTGAGATTTAGTCAACAAAGATAATGTTGTGCTCATCTTAATGACATCAGTCACTCTCAAGTCAGGTCCAAAGCCTCGAAGGTTCCCAAATGGTCACATTTCACACAGTTATACAACTCCTGTGCCACAGGCCGCTGCCATGTCTGGTAGGATAAATTGGACATGGGCATAAACAGTCCTTATCTCATGTTGCAGCATCTCATTTTCAAGGAACGTATAACAAATCTCACAGCAACACAAAAGCCAAGGAACCATTATTCCTAGGTGTAAGAAATATATTCAGAAGCAAAATATTCTATTTGTCCGAAATCATGGATTCTGTTCACTAGAATTGTTTTATATAGTGATCCAGATTTTCTAATGTAGGATATAGTGATTAGAAGACCCTTTCAGACACGGCACAAGTCAACGTTTCAATATGATATGTCAATATTTTGTGAGAATAAGTCACTATGTTGAAATACTAGGTCAGACTTTTGACATACTGCTGCTAGAATCAGAGAAAGGAACGCTTTTCTATTCGTTCCAACCTTGTAGACTGTTGATTGGTGTTCACATCAGTGTTGGGGCAGAAAAGCTAGTTTCTATAAGCTTCTATAGGAAAAAACACATTTGATTACTACATATTACACATGATTACACTGTCTCTCTTAAATCTCTAAACATTCCTTTAATATGATGTAAATTCAATTTAATTCATGTTCATGTTGCCTTTTTTCCATTTGAGCCCTGCCCTCTACAATGTCTGTGCACAAGCTTGATGTGAAATGTTTTCTTTTGCTTAAGCCTCTGATACCCTCTCTTGCAAAATTACAACAACTGTTTAAAGCACTGTTTATACCTTATTCTGACTAAATGTCGCTAAAATACACATCCTAATAGTCCACTCTCTAAACATTGTTTGTAGAAGAAAAATAGTAATACATGGACATGCCTCCTGTTGGCACGTTTGCTTTGTGTAAATAGTAAGCTGCATTTTTTCCCTTCATTCATGACGTTTGTTTAGGAAAAATGCAAAAAATATATATGCATACAGAAATTTGAGGCGTTTTTGTGAATGTTCTAAAAATGCAACTATAGGCCCCAATTTCCATCACTTTTTAACATTGTTATTCACACAACAGCCCCATCAAACCCTTTATGAGCAGGATCAGGGGTTTTGAGGTGGGGAGTGCATAAAAATGCATATTTCTGTGCAGGGTTTCCCACCGTATTTATAGTATGCAAATTTATACAGCAATTTTTAAAAGTTAAATGAATTTACTGCCTATGCATATCCTTGTTACCTTTAAAAAGCATGGAATATTTGTGATTATATTCCCAAAATCTATGCCAAAACAAAATATAAACATACAAAACATAATTTTTTTATGGTCAGTGGTAGGGGTGGGAATCTTTAGGTACCTCACGATTCGATTTGATTACGATTCAAAGGGCTGCGATGCAATGATAAAATGATTATCGATGCATCTCGATGCATCTTTTTTCTTCTATACAGGATTTCCATCTTCCTACTGTCTGAGGACTTGGTAGTTTTAAAGCAAAGTATTTGTAATGGTCCATAATGTAAAAGCATTATGGATCATCACAAATACTTTGCTTTAAATATCTAAAATATCTTTATTAATAAATCAAATGGAAGTGATGTGGCAAGTGAACTAGAAGGCTCTCATTCAGAGACACTTCTGCCACTCATCTGCGATAAAATGCGCTGTTACCCTGAAATAAGATCCAGTGGTAATGGGTGTCCACGCAGCGCATTACAGCCATCCCGTTTTACAGCCATCCCGTTTTCTTTAGTGATTTTATAACTTTGGTTTTGGTCTCGTTGTAGAGAGTGTGTGTGTAGAGGGGGGGTATTTTCGAGACTGGACGCTGAATCTCGGCTCCAAAGTGTGCAGCATAGCGCGAAAGCCCTGGTTCTCAATGACCGAGAACAGACAGCAGACAGCAGGTCACATAGTCCGGCCTCGAACGAAAAAAGAGAGATATTTGGAGGACTTGGTCGCATTTATAAGCAGCGCGGTTGGTTAAAAATGCAACAAGAGACTGTCTTTCTCTAAAAGGTTGCAAAAATGAACTCGCTTCCCTTTCGTATTTTCCCATTCCAGCTTAATTGGTGCCTCAGTTACATTCGGTGCCTAGGGCAGAATTTAAGGTGGAACGGGAATATTAGAATGAGAAGCGAATGAGAAGCGACTTCAGCCTTGTACAACAGCCGGATGCTGAGACATTTCACAAGAAACTCTTCTAGTTTTGAAGAAAAGTTTTCTGGCGGAGATGGGAGGAAAGCGGCTATAGCTGAAGCTTAAAGCAGAGCGAAGTAAATCTGCGTTTTCGTTTATATTTTTAGCCCATACTACGACATTAACACATACTAAGACATACTGGACATTAAATGTTGTGGCTCCCAAGGTGATTTGACTTTATTGAAAGGACAAAATGTCTCTTTTTAACATTCGGGTTGTGACTCCTGATCTAACCTGGCTTTTAATGCAGAGGGAGCCGGTCGGATTTCTCACTCATCCAGGAGTGGTTTTGTTATGTGCCGCCAGAGACTGTCCGGGCGCTGCACTTACCCACTTCCAGTTCCGCCTTTTGCGTTCCGTCAACATTACGTTATAAATTAAATATTTAGAAAATCGATTTTTGACATTTATGAATCGATTCAGAATCGCTCACGTCCGCATCGCGATGCATCTAAGAATTGAGTTTTTCCCGCACCCCTAGTTAGTGGTTGCATGGTCTGAAAAGGAAAAAATGAAAAAATATCCACAAAATCAATGCATGGATCTCTGAGTGTTAAAACCGCCATAAGACATTGAGGTGTTAGCGGCTTATTGAATGAAGCCTGCAATAAGTAGGCGAAAGGAGCAGTGGCACTGCTTGCAGGTTGGAAATTGGTGGCTAAAAACAGGCTTTACGTGCAGAAAGCTTTACATGCTGTTTACGCTAATGCCAATCTAATGAGATTTTCTTTCACCACAGATTCTCAGAGTGAGAAGAATTTGCGAGGTGCTTTGCGATCTGAGGTTGAGAGGTCAGTGCATAATGACATGTAATTTTAACATAAATACCTAATATCTGATGGCCCATTGTGAACAGTTTTTGTAATGCTGCTCTGTAAACTTCATGTCTGATCTGACCTCCTCTGAAAACAGGAAACTCAACAAAGAAGATATTGTAATTCTGGATTCCTTGAATTACATTAAAGGTAAATTTTTCTCAGTTGTCTTGTTAAATGTTCGTATTCTTGTTCTGACTGTAATTCATTACTTTGATCCATTCTGTTCTGTCAGTCTGTAAGATACATGTTTCTCAGACAGAAAAAATGCTGTTTTTTGTTTTTTGTTTTTGTTTTTTGTTTTTTGTTCAAAAAATTTTGAGTAGTCCTTGGGCGTTTGACCAGTTTATCCAAAATGATGTCCTACTTACTGTTCTACTGTAAAAGATTTCACGTTACTGGGACTATTTGCAATGAATTTTATGCCATTTTAAGCACCAACTTTCCGTTAGGGGGCACTTAGAACACTTTTTATGTCTTGTCTACTGTAATTGAAAAAAATGGTTCACTTTACATGGTTAGCAAATAAGTGAACACAGTGCACAATTTTCAAGCCATCATTCAATAAATATCAAACAATCTATGGAACAACTGATAAGCGTTAAACAGTGCTGCTCACTAGGAGAGAGAAGCTGGTTAGCCTTAGCTTCAATAGTATGCTAACAGCTCTGCCCACCACAGAACATGTGATTCTTGCTAACTAAAGCACACACGTTTAGATGATTTAAAAACAACAAAATCTGACAAAGTGAAGTCAAGCAACCATTGAAGGGACAGAAAGGCAAAATTAAACCTGTTGTGTGGTGTGTGGATCTGTAGCCTGATAGGCTACCTTAATATTAGCTTAGCAAGCAGCTACAGACCCAAACAGTGCCACCCATCACAGTACAGGCTTGATTCTGAAAATTGGTGCTCTGTTAACACAAATTTAGATGCTAAAAATGTTTGAGAGAGCAAAACTAGAGAGTGAGCTAAAATCGAACCTATTCTGTAGAATTTGGGAGAGAGCTTTGTTAGTGGGCCTAATGTGCCACACCACAGCACAGGCTCAGTTGTAGCTAACTAATGCTAAAATGACACCCGTTTAGAGGATGGAAGTGCAATGTTGAGTGACTGGTGTTGGAGTGAAAGCTGAAATGGGGTGTGTTCTGTTATGTGTGCAGGGAATGTGCGGTTCTGATGTGTGTAGCTTGTTGCCATGACTTTTGCTATCATGCTTTTTTTTCTGGTTCTGATTTCCAAAATTTTTCTGTTAGTGCCTCCTGTTGGTGAGCTCCCACATCACCAATATAAATGGGTGGAATGTGTTTTTATCCATTGGGAAAAGGAGTAGAAATCTGATGCGTCATTTTTAACTATCGTCATTTTTACATACCGCAGTATACCGTATTACAGTCATACCACTCAACCTTAGTTTATGGTATATGGAACTCCCTTTATTTTCCCTTTTCGTATCTTTTAAGGGCTTTTATATAATTATTGTATATTAATATCATATTTTATCTAAACTGAGATTCTTCAATAAAAATAAAGTTTAAAAAAGAACTGTCACATGGTAGTGCTGCAGAATTTCATTTGCTGTGTTTTCCAGGTTACAGATACGAGCTGTTTTGTCTGATTAAACATGCGCAGACACCACACTGTTTGGTATGTATAATCTTAATATTTAAAAGCTAAGCTAAAACCATTGAGATCCCCAGCAATTGTTGAGCAGACCTAAATGTATATATGTACTATACATCCATTGTTACTCTTTACACAGGTCTACTGTTTAACGTCAGCTGATTTGAGCTCAGAGTGGAATAAGGAAAGAAAGGAAGGTTGTCAGTATTCCCAGGAAATGTAAGCATGGATTTACCTTCTTTTCTTGTAGCCTGGTTCACTGTACAATAATGAGATTTATGATTCTGAAAGATGTATATTCTGTTTGGATATGTTCATAAAGACAGGAAACCCAACATGTGCACTTGATTATGAGGTAGTTGATATGTACAGTCAGAATTATTCTTTCGCCTGCTAACTGGAATGTCTTAGGCTGTAATGCCTTCTCAAGAATGTTCTTTACCCTTTCTCTGTGAAAATGTACCTGCAAATTTTAAGAATTCTAAGAAGTTTCAAGAAGTTCTTGCAAGTACTTTCAGTATGTTTGCATTAATGGTCTGTTTAATCCAGAAAATTTTGTTAAGGACTTCCTTTGCTTCCTTATGCTGCTATAGCCTGGATGCCCTCATTTTGAGATTTGAAGCCCCTGATTCAAGAAATAGATGGGACAGTCCACTCTTTACCATTCAGAAAGATGACACTCTTCCATTTGAAGCCATCTCGGATGCCATTTTCAAAAGGAAAGCGCCCCCTCCTAACCAGTCCACACAAAGTGTAAGAAGTCCCCTGTTTTGAGCTTCAATATGCCATGCTGTGAAAATTATTCTTTTCCTTTAGTGTTGCATATTTGTCACAGTGAGGGGTTTCAGATCTTGAGACATGTAATATTAAACAAAGAGAACCTGAGTAAACACTTAAAACACAGTATATAATGTGCCTTAACACAATTATAGTTTCATTTGTTTAAGGAACAAAGTTATACAACATGTAAAACACCTGCGTGAAAAGTAACTCCCTGCTTAGTTACTCAAACAACAAATTAACCAAATATAATTAATAATTTCAGGAGTTTCTGTTGGTTGAACACAGTAAGACATGAATGCAGCCAGCCCTATTAAATGTAGATCTCACTCATATTGATGTTTATCATGACAGTGCCACATTTAAAGTCATTGAGATCTTCATTACGACCCATTCTACTGCCACTGAAACACCTGAACTAGGAGAGGTGTCCACATCCTTTTGGTCATGTAGTGTTTTATCGTTTGAAATATTGGTCAAATCTAAACATTGTCTAATGCCACTAATTGTTTCGTTTTAAGCGATTATCTGGTGATGCCGAAAAGATTCTGATATCATTGTGCATCCCTAATTTAAAGATCTGAAAGTGTTCACTATGACAAACATGCAATAATAGGAAAAAAAAACGGATAGGGCAAAATTTTTCAGTGCTCTGTATAGATACTATTATGTGCGTGTTTGATGGCACCTAAAGATCAATGATAGAAATGTTTTTTTTTTTCCAGCAACCCCTGTCCTCTACCAACTTTTTATATGAGTTGGACAAAGTAACTCAGGATATCTTAATGGTACGGTTTTCTTTTCTGTGTTAAAATGTCAGTATTGCCTCAGGCATCCAGATTTGTTTCCCCTCATTCTATTATCTTAATGTTTTGCAACTTTGGGCGGCAAGTGTGCTATAGCATGTTTTTATTTTGGCCTCCTAGGCTGTTCTTGACTCACAGAAGACCAGTGTCCCTGGGGACCTCATTGCGATTCCAGGAGCTACAGAAAAGATATCCTTTTGTCACATATTTTGCATTCCAGTCTTTACTCTGTACACCATGTGTAGGCTCTTTCTGAAGAATAAATAGTGCTATTCTCTCTACTGGTACAGCTCTAGTTCATGTGCTTATGCATCTCAGATTCCACAGATGTAATTGACTACAGGGCTGAAGGATTAATTGTTTTATCGTAAGTTTTAATTGTAGCGTATATTATCGACAATGTAGTCTTAAGTTTTAATTGGGGAAATGTAACCTGATAACAGAGAGCTTGTCAGCTGTCTGTAGGAAAGTTAGACCACTCAGATGACAGCATGACCACGATTAACTGTCAGTCTGGTACACTACATTCAGCATTCAAGCCAGAAAAAAGTGGTTTTGCTGGTCTTTGTGGCCAGAATAACAGACCTGTGCTCACTTGCATAAAATATCTTGAATATTTATCTTAAGTTAAATGCTTAACAGATCAATCTAAAGTGTTAAATTTATGTTTACATTTTGCAAATGTCAAAACCTTAAGTTCTGAAACACACCTAGGATCAAAAACTCAATTTACAATTATTGATTTTTTTCACTTTCAACTCATATAAACTTGTAACAATTTATAAAAGTTATAAATTATAAGTGACGTAAGTTATAAGATTTCACGCAGCTCACCTAAGGTAAAAGGTAAACTTGAGGCCAAAAACCGCTTAAGATGGTTTACGCAAATGACCCCTGGACCTTAAATTAAAGAAAATAATCACAATTTAACAGTCACAATACTGGTCAGGAAAAACACAAGTAGATATTTTCCCCAAATTGTTCAGCCCTGAATGACCAGGCGGCAAAGATTGAGGAAGCCAGCTCATTCACACATGAAACGTTTACCTTATTATTCACAACAAGGGCAGATGCTGGAAGCAAAAGACTCCTTATTTGTTATTTCACAGACAGCACGCCTTTAATGCCATTTGCAGCTGTAATGTAAAGATGAGCATACCGATTGCCTGGAATGAATATGTGGCCTTCAAAGAACGCCATTTAATTTTGACAGACGTCCAGCATAGTGACCATCCTAAATAGCTTTAGCCTTCAGTAGCCATAGGAATATAAGCTTCCCAGAAATGAATTTAAACTCCTTTGTTGTCCCTCCATCAGACGGCTTTGAATCTTCTAAGGAAGGAATAACGGCAGATGTTTTTTTTTTCCCTGTTATGACGCTGTCCACCAAACAATGAGTTATAATTGCATTCCATAAAGTGTTGGACCACAAAGCGTTGGACATAAATATACTCAGATTTGTATTTTTTTAAACATGCCTTTCTCAGTGGTTTTGAATGTTGTCTGCCTAGTGAATAGTCTTGTTGAACACTTGCTGTATAATTTAATTTCCTCAACCGCTGCAATACATAGAACTCACGAGAAGTCTTAACATGGCTGAACTGAGGAAGCTTCGACGGCAGTTCATCAGCTACACTAAGATGCATCCAACAGAGAACATTGGGCAGATAGCCAATATGTTTGTGCAGTACCTCAACAAGAGTATGCACTGATAACTGCAGTTGAATTGATTAGTGCCTATGGTGCTTGTTCTCTTGCAATATTTTAATTGCCTTCCATAGTTATAAGAGTTATAAGAGCTTTATTTAGTGTTTATATATTTTATTGGTTTTTAAAGTGTTGTGATGCAGGATTTCAAGCATCTTCAATGTAATAAAGTCTCATTTTTGGATTGATTTCTGGCTTGTGTCTGTCCATATTCAGAGGAATTTAAGTTGTTTTAGAGAGTTAAATGAACCAATCAAGAATTTTAGAGATTGCCACAGCTGGCAGCTAGAGTGTACTGTATTCTATCTGCCATGTATTTATATGTTTACTAACAATTTTATTTGTATAATGCATTTTTGCATAAATTATGAAGATTTTCAGTCAGATTTTTGTTTTCTGTGTTTATGGGGTGAACAAATAGAACTTGCATTTACTGTGTAAACCTTACTGTTTTATTAGTAAAGAGAGATTTTTGTAAATTAATATCTGATGCATGCTTTAGACAGTTAGACACCATGTCATAATTTAAAGGGTAATTCTACTGGTTTTTAAAAATTTTTGCTTAATTCAAGGCGTAAACAGTCATTCTGAGTGGTTTGATGTAAAATGGGTTCATTGCAAAAGAGAAACTTAGCAACTCTGAATTCTTTGCAATAGTAATGAAAGGAACTGGGTATTATGATGTATATGATGCAGATATAAACTGCCGTACACTATGTGACTACTAAAGTCCTAACCGGTCTCGAAAACTGAGAGCATCACACACTTAACATCTGTCTGTCTTGTTATTTTGTCGTGAGGGCATGCAATAACACTAAAAGAGGGAACAACACATACATTTTAGCTGCAAAAAGCCTTCAAAATCCCAGATCTCCGCAACTATCATATGATACAAACAAAGCTGAACTGGATCAGTGTAATGAAAATGGAGCTGAACAGTCTGGTTCTGGAAAATCTCATTGATGATGGCCATAAGGAACCTGATTTTTGCCCATAATATTTTATCAAGCCAATGTAGACGTAATCCCCATTTGAGTTGGATTAGTTTTACCTGAGGGTGTAAGGTTAATACTTTTTCAATATTAAACACCTTCAAACTGTAAAAGCCTTTAGCACATTTCTTATAGAGGTTATCAGTCAGTTCCACTGTATGCAAAATGTTGGCATGCATGTCTGCAGTGTTGTATTTTCAGGTTTGGCATGGTCTGTGGTGGTGATCCCCACATGGTATCTTTTCATGGGGTCCAAAATCCATGTCAGCGCCCCTGTGAGGAAAGTACTGTAATTTAAGTGATTATGACGAAATGATTTTAATCCAGTATGAATCTGCAATGTCCATAGTTTTTACAAGTCTGATCATTCTGGAAAGGGGCACTGCCAGAGTAAAATTATTTAAAAATAAATTAACATTATGTACAGAATGAGTAAAAAACTCTTAGTCCTCATTGAGTGGCAGACACCCAGACATGCACTCATTTCCAATCATTCTGATATAAATTTATTAGTCATTTTGCCAGTTCATTTCATTTCTTTCTATTTGCTAATTTTGCTAATATCTTTTTAGCTTCTAAAATTTTTCTTTTGCTTCTGACTTGTGGCACTTTTTAACAGCGGGCGAGTCTCAGAAGAGGGTGTTGGCCTGTACTCTCTATTGGTCAATTGATTTGGAGTGACAGGTCTTCTGAACACATGGCCACACCAACTCTGAGAGCTGAGAGCTGTGATCTGCTCGAACATGGCGGAGCACTTTGTACTGAGTGTAATATTGCCAGAGAGGATGGTACTGACATGTCCACCTTTATGAACAACGTCGGTCATATTTATTAATGTAACATGCACAAAGAGTCCTGTGTCTAGCTTTGTGAATATATATATTTTGGAAAGTGAAACATTTAGGTAAACTCAGCTGTTGAACAAAGCTGTTTCATCTTTCGCAGCTGCTAACGCTAACTAGCCGAGCTGCTAACTAAGTTAGGTGCAGCTGTTTAAATCAGTGAGTGCGTTTACGTGCACTCAGTAATCTGATTATAGTTGGATTTCTGCAGTTATCTGATTATTCAAATGGTTATGTAAACAGCATACTCCGGTTTCTTAGATTGGAGTAAGGTCTAGAAATCTGATTAAGAGAGCTGGATTTTAGCTCAGTAATGAGATTTCTCAGTGCATGTAAACTCTTACTCGGATTTCTTTTGGACTTCTCAATCTGTGTGAAACTTCTCAGTGCGAAAACAGGTGGTGGTATAGACCACTGTAGTCGTGTCGTCATTTTGTAGTCAGTGCCATGCTCTTATGCCCATATTAGGAACTCCGGGTCTAAGCCCCATTTCTCTATGGCCAGAATGAATAGGGTTTTCGAAAAATCGCCTCTGTCACACCTTGTGTTAAATAAAAATGTTCAGAACCCGATACGTTTTGTCCTGTGTACATTTTTCTCCCGAATACCACTGGATCCTCCGAATTACGAGGTCATAAAGAGCTATAATACTAATATTGCTACATATGAGCTAAAGCTACTGCACGTCAATTTGATGTCACTAAGCTACACGAAACTAAGGCAGGCTGTGCCGGAGCTCTGACGAGCTGTGATATCTTATCGAAATGTTCTATTGTCGCGCATATTTACAGGTATACCCGTAAATAAAACCTCTGGGTGGGATATTTTGATAGACTAAAACTCCTTATCAAAAATACTGCCCGTGTTAAAACTACAAGGCTGAATTTAGCTTCTTTTTTCACAGCTTCTTGTTTGAATGTTCCCGTTCCACCTTAAATTGTGCAGCAGCTGTGACTTTGTCAGCTGTGACAAACTTTAGCAAACGAGACAAAATACTGAGCTGTCGGTTCTCTGAAACAGCAAAAGTAAGTTAATGTTACTCGGCTAGCTCTTTAACGACCTCGTAATTCAGAGGATCCAGTGTTATTCGAGGGGAGAATGTTCACAGGACAAAACGTATCGGGTTCTGAACACTTTTATACAGGGTGCGATAGAGGCGATTCATTCTGGCCATAGAGAAATGGAGCTTAGACCCCAGAGTTCCTAATATGCACATAACGAGGACTACAGAAAGACGCATGACTACAGTGGTCTATGGGAAACAAAGCAAGCAGCGTTGCTGCAAGATGGCAGCAAAACACTTTTGCACCAACGTTGAAACCACGCATGATTCTAGAATCCGTCAAACTCAGAGCTCCTTCAGTAATAATAGTCCTGTTCAAATGTACCTCAAATGTATTCGCTTCACATTATTATTACTGGTGTCATTCATTGCAAATATTATTATTATGATAATAATATTATTATGACAAAAAATAAAATAATTATTTATTGATAATTGTATTTTTTATGCAAAGTTTTTATGATTATCTCATTGCAATTATTATTCAAAGCTTTCGAATACCAAACTTACCAAATTGCCATTATAGAGATGAAGAGTTTGCTAATATGAACACTTTAACAACCAGTAGACTAACATATCCCCTTTCCCTTTTTCAGTCTTGTCTCTTATAACAGTTTTTCCCTATCAGTTATCTTTGGTTTGCTTATCACTGATTGAGGACAGCTGTGATCTCTGTACAGATGCTTTGTGAAACTACTACTTCAAGAAACGCTAAACAAATACAGCTGAATTGGATTGTATCATTCATATTTTATTACAGATTTAGAAGGAACTGTCTGTAAGTAAACAAACCTGTATGAGTTTCCTGTGCTTCTGTGTCCTTCCAGTCATCCCTTCATCGCCAGGCAAACAGTGGTCTACCTGCATCAGCCACTGATATTTTGCAAGAACTGCTTGTGCATTTATACATAATCACTGATACATAATCACTCATAACAAAAGAGTGTTTACATGCTCTTAATAAACCTGATAACTGCAGAAAATCCAATTTTGTGAGTGATTCGTTCAACACGTTTATATGCGCTTGAGTAACCGGATAATGGGAAACTGGGTCTATACGAGTCAGACAGTAATATTTCTGCTTTGCAACTTGCCAATAAACTCAAAGAAGATGACATGACAACGCCATCTTACAGCTGCTGTGTTCAATGTTGCTTGCTGTTTACGGGAAGTCTGTTTTTGCACATGCACAGGCAGAATACAAGAAGAGTAATCAGAGTAAAAATCCAATAATCGTTGGATTATTAAGATCATATAAATGCAGTTAACGACTCCTTCACTCCTAAAGTGAAAGGGGCCTTAAAGGGTCCTTCATACTAGTGATTCTCAACCTGGGGACACAGAAAAATCTCAGAAATTGCAAGTTGTAAAAATGGTGGACATTGTTAAAACTTAATCTATATACATGCCAATGTATATGCAGGTAAGTGGCATTTACCATCCGCAAAGGGTGCCTTAGATTAAAAAGTCTGAGAACTGCTGCTTTACATTATTCCATAGAAGAACCACATTTGGTTCTCTAAAAACCTATCAAGTAATTACATTTTAGAGAGCTGTTATTTTAAATGTGAAGTGCAAGTATGACGGACCTTTTAAAGTATTTAAGCATCTTTAAGCATGTTCCTTGTTCAAAATGCTTTTCTCAGTTCATTTCACCACATTGTTGGAGGTGCCAAACAGTCTGTTCCAGTGAAGAAAGGCAAATTTACTGCTGGGCTTTTGGTGGTGAAGCTCAGTCCAGATGGCACCAGGCGGCTTGGAGTCCAGGGTAGGTCGTAGCTGATGTGATAGACACCCAGATGCTGAAAACAGCAAGTGTCCACATAGTCAGGAGATGATACTGTAGAAGGAGAGGGTCTGGGTTGCTCCAGAAGCCCATGGTCATCAGCTCCACAGCACTGAGCTGTTCGGTGGACCAGGAGTAGGGCGAGATGTAGTCATGGTGGATGATGTGGAGTGGACCCACTTGCACAGGTGGTCTAAGTCATGTCCAATTCCACCCACTAGCTAGGTCTCCCCCAAGCACACACTGCTACCAAGATGGTAGGGTGCAGGCAGGGCGTCTTGCAGAAGAATAATGGGTAACACTTGGGCTACCTATACGGTCACTTATAAACAGCTTATATTTGTATTTGCAAGAAAACAGAAGTTTTGTAAAGTAAATAATATTGTATTGACATAAGGGTCCTTAAACTGAAGTGATGGACAGTTGTTCCAGTTGTTTTGATGCATTATTCTCAAGCTATTGAATTTCTAAGGCAGAGGCATAGTTAATGCCGTATATCTGCCAT